AAACAGTAAAGATAGCACGAGCTCTCAAGGGATGAAACCAAGACCTTTAAAGATAGCTTAGAAATTAAACTCCAGGGGATCTTCTACTTGAACGAACAGCAGGGGGAACCCCTAGCTATAGAGGTCTTTTTTCAACTGGATTACTCAGTACAAGAGGGAATGAAATAGAGGGCGCTGAGGGTGGAGCTGGCGACCTTGAAAGAACAGGGAGAGAAGGAACTAGTCATAATGAAAGGAGTGATTGTTCGACGACACAAATCCCACCTGTGGAGGACGCCGGTTATACTGACGGAGGCCACACGGCCGGACAACTAATTTGACGCAAAAGCCTACGTAACATTAAGTTCATCTACGGAAATGTAGAAAGACTCTTGGACAAACTCGACGAATTTAAAATAATTGTTGCCGAACTATGTCCTGATGTTAGTGCATTAACTGAAACGTGGCTAACTCAAGATGTCAACTACCCCTAATACAGTAGATGGTTAATTAGTGCTAAGACGAGAGCGAACCAAAAGGCGAAGTGGCGAGTTGCCCTATATATCAGCAATGCGGTCGAATGTAACCCTGTTGAAGGACGTGTAAATGAGCATGATCTTGAGATGTTGCAGTATCATTCGCTGGTCCTAAAGCCGAAAACGTCACTGTCACTGTTGTATGTAGGCCTCCAAATCAACCTGCCGACGAAGATCAAGCGTTAATCACTCGACTCCGCGAGGACAATCGAAAACAAAGCATTAATATTGTAGGAGATTTCAATGGTCCGCGAATTACCTGGAACCTTATGACTGTAAAGGACCACAGACCAAATGCCATTAGACATGGCACTTGATAAATTTCTGTTTCAACATGTACGGACGGTTATTCGGATGCGTTAAGGTCAGTGAGCTAGTTGCCTAGACCTACTGTTTACCAAGAGCGAGGAAAGAGTTGATGAAGTAGAGGTAGGCCCACCCCTAGATTCTTGTGATCACGTGACATTAATGTGTGAGTCGACACTCGTAGCTGCCCCCGAACGAAGTACAAAGTCGCTAAGACCTGTCTGGTGGGGGTAAATTTGAGGCAATGAAATCAGAGACTGGACACATTATGAACGGAAGCATTACGAGGAGATGTCAACTACTGTTAGACAGTCCTCGAATCAACTGTGAGAGACTTGATTGAACGATACTGTCCCCTCAAAGAACATCCAACCGGAAACAAACCGAAATGGCTGAAAATATCGGTTAAGGAGGGAATCCGAAAAAACGCAAGTTGTTGAAAAATCATCTTACAAACGGGGAGTCCAGAAAAACTTCAGGAATTTAGACAACAACGAAACTTATGCAAAAGACTCATCCGAGAAGTACGAGCTTCTTATGAACTGAAGCTCCTGGAAGAGGCGCAACATAAACCTAAAGCATTCTATGCATATATCAGAAGCAATACAAAAAACCGGGACCATCTCGCAACCTTAATGGACAAGAATAACCAAATTGTGAGCGACGGTTTTCAAAAAGCCGAGCTTCTTTCAGAGTTTTTCTAAAGTGTCTATACCACGGAATCACCCCTCCAGTCCTTTTCTCTTCCGCAGCTCGCCGACCAACCACTTATAAGTGACGTATTATTTGCATCGCAGTTAGTTTTAGCAGAGTTAAATAAGCTGAATCCGGCCAAGTCACCTGAACCAGATGAGATCACAGGTGTACTCCTACGTCAGCTAGCTGAAGCATTAGCAGAACCACTCTGTATAATTTTCCAAAAATCGCTGGAAGCTGGAACACTGCCTGACACATAGAAGTTGGCAAAAGTCGTACCTATCCACAAGGGAGGATCACGGACATATCCCACCAACTACCGGCCGGTGAGTCTGACATACATCTGCTCAAACTGATGGAAAAGATAGTTAAAAAAATAAATTACATCACTTGATACATTTCGCCGTCATATCAGTTCAGTTCAACATGGTTTCTGTGAAATGAAGTCCTGCCTCACGAACCTGCTTACGTCACTCGAACATTGGTCGAAGGCCATGGATTAAGGACATTCAGTATATGTCATTTACTTCGACGTCAACAAGGCGTTTGATTGCTTTCCACATAAGCGTTTCGTTCAAATGTTGTCAGGAGTAGGGATAAGAGGAAATCTTCTGAAGTGGATTCAAGATTTCCTAAACAGTCGTAGACAAAAAGTCACTGCGGGTGGCTACTGCTCAGAATGGGCACCTGTTAAAAGTGGAGTCCCACAGGGGTCAGTAGATTACCTAGTACGGTGCGGTGAAATCGAAGATAGCGCACTTTGCAGACGATCTTAAACTTTATAGACCGATAAAAAATGAAGATGTACTACAAGGGGATGTAAAGAATTTGCACGAATGGAGAGAGAAATGGTGCACGAAATTCAACGTCAAAATGTGTAATAATGCGCGTAGTATCAGCAAGGCGACGAACAAACGCACCCTCACGACTGTATCTCTTGGACAATCAACCACTTAAAACCATAGATGTGCTAAAATATCTCGGTGTATTCATTAAAGACGACTTAAGCATCACCACACTGTGTTCCAAATTCGCAGCGTGGGCAATGCCAGTCATGAGCGCGATACGCAGAAAGTTTATCACCTTGAATTCGGATGTATTTGGAAAAGTATATGGGACACTTGTGCGGCCGTACCTGGAATATGCGGTACAGGCTCGGCGGCCGTCGCTTCGGAAGGATATAGATATCCTTGAAGGTGTACAAAGACGTGCTACAAAGACTGTTCATGGCCTGAAGGATTTTAAGTACGAGCAGCGCCTGACGGCCTTGAAGCTCTATCCCCTCCACTACAGACAGGACAGAGATAACCTCATTGCAACGTTTCAGTTGCTAAGAGGACTTAATCTGGATGTCGACTGGGAAACCTATTTTGAAATGGCAACCAAGTCTACTCTCAGACAACACGATTACCAGCTTAAAAAGGAACTGCGCCACACAAATCAACGTTCCTCCTTTTCTCACAGAGGGTCATTCGCCAATGGAACTCTTTGCAGGCGTATGTTGTTAATTCCCCTACCGTGAGTGTGTTCAAGAGACAACTGGATACTCACCTGCCGAAAGGCAACCCGAACTGTCGAAGCCTGATCTAATGGATTACTGAAATGACTATAAATATACTTAGGCAGAATGGCATTACCAACAAAGACAAGGGAGACTGGAATGGCCATTTCTGGCTTATTAGCCGTCGTCAGCCAGCCATACCCAAGCCCGAAGTGTGGAACACCCGAGCCTCGAACTCGCGACCTGTTGGTTTAGAGGTCCACGCCTCTATCCACCGAGCCACGAGCCCGTTGCCCTGTCGGTTTTCGATCGGGAAATACAATGGTAGGGGGCGCTCACCGATCGTTCATACGGAACTCACTCGTTCCGTTGTGCCTTAAGGGCTCTCTCTCGAGCCCAACCAGCAGCCGCATTCCCGATCGAAAACCGACAGGGCAACGGGCTCGTGGCCCGGTGGATAGAGGCGTGGAGCTCTAAACCAACAGGTCCCGAGTTCGAGGCTCGGGTGTTCCACACTTCGGGCTTGGGTGTGGCTGGCTGACGACGGCTAATAAGCCAGAAACGGCCATTCCTGTCTCCCTAGTCTTTGTCGGTAATGCCATTCTGCCTATGTATCATGCGCCGCTGTGCGGCTGCTGGTTGGGCTCGAGAGAGAGCCCTTAAGACACAACGGAACGAGTGAGTTCCGTATGAACGATCGGTGAGCGTCCCCTACCATTATAAATATACTACCAACATGATTTCAACAGGTACTTTGTGTGCATTAAAATTGACCCATGTGAAAATTTTCACAGTCCGAATGCGGCGAACAAAGTTTTCGCAATTATTTCGCATTTATGTTCCATTATTAGATTTATGTATTCTGCTCACTAAAACTGCATGCAAAATTTGTGCAATTGAACTATTTTCCCTTACATCTGTACCGTCTAAATGGAGTTTTCAGGGCTTCTGTCGTTTACTCCAAATATACTGACTTACTGACTGACAAATCAGTTCCGGAGGATAACGAGGCAGTCAACGCTAGTTCAAAAAAATAAGTCAAGTTTCATTACTTGCCATGGTAAATAAACCTATGAAATCATCGAACGCTAAATATGGGAAAGTCAGGGTGAACCTCAGAAGAGCTGTTAGAATAAACAATAAGAACTTGCCGTTATTGTTGGAAAGGCGCGCTGTCACTTCATGTCACCCCAAGGCTAACCCGACTGGGAATTGCCTTAGACAGTCTATTTATGGAAGACGACATGATAAATCTTCCTACAGTACATTGCAGCAGGGTTATGACTGCTAAAGTTCCCATGCCGAAGTCAGTACGTCACACGAAAACTTGGGTCCGATAATCCCAACGTCGGACGAAAAATAATCTAATGTCGGTGTGCTATCATCCGTCCGGGTCACAGTGGAGATATATGGTCCTAGCGCGGGCGGGGCAATAAAGAGCTCGTCCATGAATCGTAAGCAAAATATCGCAATAGGGGATGCACCAGAGTCCACGTCATGCATTCCGAAGGAACGGACGATCCATGACGTAGATCTCCTTGATAAATACGCCAGTGCCGTTCTAAAGGATGGAGAAATGTTAACCGTCAAAAAGCTTTCTGACTGGGCAGAGCAGACCCAGGTCGTGACCTGAAAACATCCCCAAGATCCTTAAAAGTCATTTTAGAAAAACGAAGCTTAGGCAGCGCTTCTGTTAGAAGGAAGAATGGCCTTACGGAGTTCGCACAAAGAAGGAATTTTTCAGTCGGACTACGAAGTGAGAGAAAGACTGAAAATGATAGAACTGAAAGCGAAAACTGGCAAAGAGAAGAAAGAGAAGAAAGAGAAGAAACGGTCAAATAGTCCAGACCAAGAAGCCTTTCTTGTGGTCGAAACCTGTCACAATGAAGGCTGGGCCTCTCAGATGAAATGACAACTGAAGGTCATCTTTACAAACGCACAAGGCCTGTTCAACGACCTCGACGAACCATGAGACTTAGTTGATGAAAGTAAATCAGACATTATGGCTTTCGCAGAAGCGTGGATGCCTGAAGATATTGCAGATTCGGAGATATCACTTAGAGGATGTCAGCAATTCAGGAGAAATAGACCAAACCGAGGAGGAGGAGGAGGAGGAGGAGGAGGAGGAGGAGGAGGAGGAGTCATTATTTAGGTCACTTGCAGACTGACCTCAATGGTTGAGGAACATAGTTGGGTGCGAGATTTTGAACTGTTAAGCATCACCATATCTGCTAAGTATGGCCAACCAACAATGCATTTGGTGGCGTACCGCTCGCCTAACCAGACTTCTGACCAAGATTTTACTCTCATTACCGAATTGTATAAAGCCAGTGAGAAGAAAGTTGTGCTCAACGTTGGGGATTTTAACACTCCTGGCACTGATTGGCAAACAAGGACGGCACAACGGCCGCAAAACAACTTTAATCACAAGCTACTACAATAGGCAACGGAAAAACTTCTCCGCCAGAACGTTACCGTCGCAACGCTGGCTAGGGCAGGGCAACAGTCGAACTGTCTTGATCTTATTTTATCCGAGAGGAGGAAAATGTGTTAGGCTTTCATGGCCGACCGCCATTAGGGTTAAGCGACCACATTACGTTGTTCTGCGAGAATTGGCTGTTTTTCGAACCTATTCTGTCTGATAAGTGGAAAAGAGACGTTTTGAAGGCGGACTATTCACTCGTGAGCAGAGAAGTGTCGGAGGTTTTCACGGGAGACAGAACTGCATGGCGGGCCAAACGAAAACTGGAGGACTTTCAGTCCCTTACTAAAAGGGATTGTCTATCTCAACTGTCCTCCCAGAAGAAAGGCAATCGCGAACCGCCCAAAGTGGATAAACTCGAACTTCCAGGTCTCTTTCCAAAAAGAAATCGCCTTTGGTGGCGTTACAAACTAACCGATTCCCAAGATCATTTACCCGAATGCAAGCAGCAGCGCAAAATTTGTAAAAACGAGGCTCCCAGGCTGCGAAGGGAATTCGAACTGTGCATACTGCAAAATTCGTTGGAACACCCGAAAACTCTATATGGCTGCATAAGGAGTACTAAAAGAGTTCAGAAACTGATCCCTGCCTCTAGGTTTGTAGAGGCAAAACTGGGGATCGACGACCAGGTTAAAACATCCCTCCTTTCTAATTTCTTTCAGTCCCGAGAGCCTGATTCTTTACTTGTCCCTTCACACGTTCGCCCACCAACGTCTCCCCCTTCTTCTACTTCCCCTTTCCCTCTCCATTCCCTTCTCAGTCGAGGAACCGCACTTTTTATCGGCTATGGTGAGGGTCGAATCACCTCGACCGAAGACTGCCAGATAGTCTGGTTCGGATCGGATTAATGCACTTCAAGAACTTGCTAACGAGCTCTGCGACTCATTGGCTGTAACCGTTAAAAAGTCATTTTAAGAATGCGAACTCCCGGAAGAATGGAGCGCATTATTAAAAGACATTTGATGGGATATCTGGCAAAAAAAATATTGCTTTTTTCCAGGACGTTCTTGCCTCACGAGTGTTATTTACTCGCACGAGAAATGGACGGGGCCACAGATAAGGGTTATCCAGTAGGTGTTATATTTTTTAACTTCAAGAAAGCCTTTGATAGCCCCCCGCATAGGCTTCTTTTACAAAAGATTTGGGCTGTGGGAATTCGAGGAAGATTATCTAAATGGATCAGGAGCTTTCTGTCCGCCAGAGTCCAAAAAGTCGTTGTTGGGCACTCGATCTCGGAAAGTGGGTTGCCACTGGGTTCTGTTTAAGGCCCACTAATCTTCCTGATTTATGTTAACGATTTCATCAGCGAACTAGACTGCGAGGCTCTCATGTTCGCTGATGGCATAAGAATATGGAGTGAGATCAAGTGCCCTAGGGATGCAAAGAAGCTGCAATGGAAAATCAACAAACTGCGTGTTTGGTCAAACAGACGGCTTTTGAAGTTTAACGCGTCCAAATGCGTGGTCCCACACCTAAACACAGTTTGAAATGTCTCTTCCAAATATCAGTATTTTGTTACCGGGACGGCATTAAATACTGTAAAAATATACAGAGACCTGGGTGTATAGACAACCACAAATCTAATGCCATCAGAACACTGCAGGAAGATGGTCCAGAAGGCAACTAGTACTTTACACTGGATCAGACGGGCATTTAAAACATTCCCTCCCGAGCTCTTCGGAAGACTTCGTGTCTTTGTAAGACCCCATCTGGAATGTAAAATGCCAGCAGCTTCACCATGGATGAGGAAGAATAGTGACCCACTCGAACAGGTACAAGGCAGAGCAACAAAGACGGCCGATTGTCTAAAGCATTTGTATTACCAGGGGAGACTGAATGTGCTTAGCTTATCCCCCTTATCTCATATTCATTTAAAATGCAGTTTACACTTGATATTCCGGAGTGACCGTGGCCAAGGTGGTTTACTGAGAACGGACGACTTTTTGAGCTTGCCAGCACGAACCAATTACTTTGCCATCCTTAAAAATTCAAAAGCGAACGCACACGGCTTAGTCTTAGGAAGTTCTCCTTCAGCCAACGGGTTGTCGGACCATGGAACTTGTTACTAAGTGAAATGATTACGGCCGACACGATTTGAATGTTTGAAAGAAAACTAGCTCACGTAATTTTTGACAAAGGCCAACTTTTATAACATGACTATTCACAGCCAGCTTTGTAAAACACTTTGTCATACTCAATCTTTTCGTAATGACTCGCAGTGAACAGATGTGCTTCCCTATTATTAATGTTTTATTGTTAACTGACAACATTATAACTGTCTGCAGCTTTATTTTGAGTGCGAATATGTGAAATCATTGTATATAAATAGGGTCATCAAGGGTTCTGACTCTAACCCACGTGGGAAGCTGCAGATTTCAGCCTATTTACGACAAAGTTTAGTGACGTGCTGGCCAACCACTTCTTGAGACTGACCTCTATGTTCTGGGGAATATGGTGGCTATGACGAGTTTTCCGAAGAGTTCAAAAATGGCACAGTCATATCTAGATCGGGAGAAACAAAATTAACAGGCCTTTTACAACTTCGGACGTACCTCTATTGTACCATGCACGGCAGTATCTTTCCTCGTTACCATAAACCAATCTCTCATTACTTCTGTACAAAAAACTTCTGCTGAGAGGCTGTGTAGGTTCAGAAGATACTGTGTCACCACAAAACATAAAACAATGTATTTTTTATTTAAATATGATATTTACAGTTGGAAAACTGCAAGAAGAATATCATTAAAATGAACAAGCCTCTAGAATTTCTCGAAGATCCAAGAAAAAACACCAATAAAGTGAGCATAAATGCTTCCAAGAAGATTTCGTGAGATTCTAAATGTCTATAGAAACTCAGAAGCTCCTTTGGGATGACCTCGATGCAATAGTTCTCACAAATTAACCTACGATATCTCGCGAGCCCTACGTAAGAATAAGCAGTAAGTAAAACCGGTTGGCGAGTAAAATCAATATCGTCAAATCCTCAAATGACCTGACAGCGGAGCACGCCGGCGACGCGGGGGTTGTCCTGCAGCGTTGTGTCCGTCACGTTAAAGCAAGCAATACGGTAAAAGAAAACGTGACGAGATTGTTCAGGGCGAGATAGTCTGGTACCTCAACACAGGAAAAGTCTAAAACCATCCGCCCACCGTCTTGACGAAGAGAATGAAACGGTTTAATGTTCTACCTATCCTTATTTTTTCAAAATGTGTATTTGGCAGCTTGGTGGGGTTAACACCCCGGCATCAATATCAAGTGCCCAGCTAACGAAAACCCCCTCCTCTGCAAAAGTTTCCATCGACATAATTCATTGGGTTCTGTCCACCGACGATTGCACTTCTGACGTAACCATAGAAGCAGACATAGAGTGCAGCAGGAACCTTTGCGCTTCTGGATCCGCAACCCTTTTGACTTACTGCCAGCACGGAGAAAATAGTCATTATTTCTCAATCAGGCTTAACTGGCGAATGCGAAGAAACCTCGGTACGAGTCAAGTGGCCTTACCTTGCTGCTCTAAACAGACTTGCAGTTGCGATCCCCATGCGATTACGTTGATAAAAGTTTTCAGTCCTGTTGCTAAAGAAGATCCCAAATCGGACAGGCATCATTCAGATGGCCTCCTGGATAATTAGAGCCAGAGAAAGGATTGACATTGACGTTATCAACCGGGATTTAAGGCCCTGCAGTGTACAGGGTTAGTATAGACAACGAAAATTGTTATTGTTTAGGGATATGTTAAGATGCTTCCGATAGCAGCATACTCCTCTACCTCATACAGTACTACGTCCTCAAGTAGGCGCTGATTATCAGCCTGACAGGGAGCTCTGACCATACAAATCTCATAGTGAATTCGTCACCATACTCTATCACTTCATATTTATTTTCTTAGACACGCTTTAATAGAACTGTCATGACGGACGACCCAGGTACTTATGATTTAGTAAATACATCTCTGAATAGATAAAGGCTGGCTTCCTGGGTGTTACTCAAGCTTGTCTGTTTATGAACAGGTGAGGAAGTTGCAGACCGAACGTTATCCGTCTTTGGTTTCTACGCGATAGAAGTAGTCAGTCGTTTAAGGTAGATTTTCCCCTAACTATAGCGCTTAACGACTGGGGCGCACTGTTTTTCACAGAAAGCAGTTTAGTACTGCAGAAGCCTTTCATCGATCATTGGAATTTTCAGGAAAATTAGCCTAACGGAGGATGAGTAAGCCATAGCTAGTGAAAGGTCCTCTAGGGCATATAGCTGTTCGTATTTGTTTCTCACCACGACCTCCTAGCCAAAGGCATAAAATTACGTTGTTGCATTGTTATTTTGGTTGAGCGTGGCGTGAGTACAAGGTTGCTCTAATATCTGCATAAAATTGACAGGGTTGTTGAGGAAACGCTGCGTGCAACCCCGGAATGAGAGTCTGTGTGGGAATATAAGGGGTAAATCTTTGAAGGAACTTTATTGAGAAAGAGATTTTTTTGGGACAAGTAAATTCAACAAGACAAGCCAAGCCGACATGGACGGAACTACGTTTAAAAAGAGCGTTTATGAAGCCTTTTTGACTTATGACGCCTGAGGAACAGCTAAACTAAAACGGTAAGTAAATCGCATATTTTGCGACTCAGACTGTCAGGTTCTTTAGGCGTATACCAGTTTCGTTAAGAATACTTAAACATTCCGCTGTAAAATCTGTGCTCCTTCTTTTTTTTTATCAAAAATCAACTGGTAATACTCTGAACAAAAAATATAAATTTTGAAGCGAAGTTGCGGACTTCGTTATAATGAGCTCTGAAAGACCGAACGGGAAAAGCTAAGCCCGGTAGGGCAAGAGAGTAGGGAGTTCTCTCCTTGCGCTGACTTCTTGGGCTCGTAGGGCTGTGGTTATGGGGATTAGTGTTAGAGTTAAGGGACGGGAACAAGTACACCCTGCAGTTTAGAGCAAGGCCGCCTATGGTACAGGGGTCCTCAGTCCTCCTCCCCGCCACAATTTTATCCTCCAGGTGTTCAAAATTCCCTCCTTGTTTTTCTAAGTTGGACTTCGGCGCGTTTGTTCATCGAAATCAAGTACTAAAATCTTGGCTACCGAGTATTGGTGACAGTACCTGGAGATAGTGTCAATTTTGCATGCTGACTGGTGGATTCTGTAGGGCTCCTCTACATTGATCAAATTAAAGTTGAAACTAGACCTGATGATTCCAGTTTTGATGATCTCACCGAAAAGTCGTTAACTCATTTCCTACAGTCTTATTATGGCTGCATATTCCCCTACTTCAACTTCATTTCCTCGTAATCAGAAGATCTCTTTATCAAGCCTAGACCAAAAACGTTTACGTCATGGACTCAAATGCGTCGTCACTCTACAAAACCGGCCAATCAGCATTCGAGATTCACATACTTCCGGTTTATTTCTTCAAACCATCACATATTCAAGTTATTAAAGTTTTAGGGGTATCCGAAAGTAATGTCCTTTTTAATTAATGGCAGGAAAAGTCTTCACCAAAACACATTTCACTTTTTAATCAGTTACATAATTTTTCTCTTTATCAATCGCTGTCGCCCACCTCGCAACTAAGCTTTGAATACCCTCTTTGTAAAAGTAAGTCTGTTTTGATACGAAGAACTCCAACAGCCCACTTTTGACATCGGTATTTCGAAAAGCATTTTCGACCAGGAAATGCTTCAGAATGCTGGACAAATGACAGTCAGTTGGAGTACAATCAGGTGGATAGGGTGATAGGAAAAAATTTCCCACCTTAAATCTCGAATCTTGTTCTGGGTTTGTCAGGCCGAACGCAGTCTCATATTGTCGCACAGCAGAATGACACCTTTTCCAT